CCATAAAAACTCTTTATATAAATTCTAATGCCAAATAATAAAAAAACAAATGAAATCTATACATTTGAGTAGAATATTGAAAATTAAACATTTAATAGCTAACAGATGGTCCTGTCTTTTGAAAGTTTTATTGCAGTGCAAACATGCAAACTTCCTCTCCTCACTGTGTGTCACTTTATGTTTGGCTAGTGAACTCGAGTTACTGAATAATTTAAAGCATGTCGTGCATTTGAAACTAGAGCCGTAATGATTCTCTAACTTTGGTGGCCTACCCTTCTTACGTGCTTCTTTCAGTTGGGCCTCTGTTTGACTTTCATCTAACACTGCAATTAATAGTTATAACTTTATAAAAGTAACTTTTGAATTCTTTATATTGGCTTGGTAAATTTGTTAAAGTTATAGTAAAGTTAAGTTTGCTAGCTTATTAAAGGAATAGATATTATTGTTATCATTTAAGCTTTAAGTGTTTACTATTCTTTGTATTGAACTAAAATAAGCATTACATAAGTTATTGATTTAAAAACTAAATTAAATAGAATCATAAATGCATTATTAGCTGGAAATGACAAATAGCATTATAATTTATTATTATTATTACATCAAAAATAATATATTAATTATGCAAACTGAACAGTAAATGAATAAAACAACCAAAAATCAGACAAAGCTACAGTATAAAAAACCTAACACTTAGCATCATTAATATCAATGAGATCCGGGCACATTCTCTGCTGTGTATCTGCCATGTTTTCAATGAAGTTACTTTGACTTTGATGGATTGTAGAGTTAGCCAGAGAAACTGGAATGACAATGAAGTGTGTTGTTGATGGTGCTTGCTGTAATTGTGATGAAGATGGTGCAATGTTATTCTCAGTGTATTGAATGCTGCTACTTCTAAACTGATTGTAATCACTTGGTCTTGTTGGTTCCATCTGAAAATTATAAAGTTTTTTAGTGTTTACTAATGTTTAATAATATATTACATATATATAATAATTAACTAATTGTTTTCATTATTTATCATTGCACATTACTGAAAGAAATTCATTTCAAAACTGAAATGGTTATGTTATTTGTTATAAAACATAGCAGTTATATTTGTGGTTAGCATTTGACAATACTTTCAAAAATGAAAAATGTATTTATTATTTGTATTTGTATTGTATTATGTGTATCAGTAGAGTGTTGTGTATATATAATATACAATACATGCTGAATCAAGCGTATGTTTATGCGACAATTTTGTGATATGTGACAACTTTTTAATGAATTTTAAAAAATTTTAAATGTTAATCTGCGCATATGAAGCATGTTTTACAAGTAAAAACAGAAAATTTGCAAACATTACCTTGATAGCTATCTCCTAAAACGATATTTAAATTTAATTAATTGATGTTTTTTAGTTAATTTTCACACGATTATACATTAGAAAGCAATTTATTTGATCGCAATTTCAACGGCAATCACATCATCCTGCAAAATTACAACACGGAAACAAAACCTTTGTTTATTAATAGAATCTCATTCACGTACTTGGTTATAAAACGTCAATTTTATCACATATTTCTGTGAAATTTCGAGATAAAACACACATTTATTGATTTATATACATCAAATGCGTGAAAAATTCAATTGAAATTAATATTTTTATTGATATAATTTCGTCTACTAGCACATATAGGCCTACTACCTCTATCAATAAAAGGTTCCAAAATAGGTACTATATAAAGCACCATATTAAGACAGTTTATCAACCGTTATCTAAACTCGAGTTACCCATTGTTTAGATCGTTTATTTTAATTCCTCGATTCTCGGTTGATTAGTGGCGTGGGTGCCGGAAAAATTCGTTTGGTCACTAATTTAAAATTTAAATTATAAAATTTTTTTTACTGGTTTTCATTTAATCATAATTACGCAATACGGAGCCCGAGAACAGAACGGTCAGTCATATATTATTTTTAATTATTAAATTTTATATTATAATAATAAAATAAACAATACAAATATTAAATATTTTTAAATAATTTCAATGAATTCGAAATAATAAAGTAAACTTAGCAATCAAATTGAAAAATTATAGATATGAATTTATAGTGCCTGTGCCTGGATCAATCACAATTAATATAATTTTATGATATGAATATAATTATAAAATAAATACAACCATTCAATTCAAATAATAACAGCTTTGAGCACAAACACAAGTCAATTTCAATCAATCAATTAAAAATGGCAATGGGCAATGCAATGCTTCATTAATTTCAAATTCAGTCAAATGAAATCATAAATAAGTAAATTTCATCTCTTTTTTTTAAATAAATTTTAATTAGATTTAAATAAACTTGACAAATGAAATTAATCACTAACAACACAGACGTCATTAAATCCCACCAATGATATTAAAAGGGATCCAATGAAATACACAGGCCTAAGGATGTCAAACATTCCTAAGAATCAAGAACTCCAAAAGTTACCATTACTGAAAGGTGGATTATCATTTTTTTTAATTATTCTTTGAAAAGTCAGAATCTGACAAAGGCAGGAACTGTCATAGCATGCAAGACAATAGTATAAAATATAATGATAATGAAAAAAAGTATATCATCATCATATAATTATTATTCATTATCAGTATCATCTGTGGAAAATAAATCCAACAGCAGTCAGTATCATTATCACTATCGTTTGATATCATTATAATATAATATGATCATCTTCATTCATTTATCAACATCATAATCCATACATCATCACCTAATATCATTATCTGCCATTTTATATTTATCATCATCATCATTCGTCATGTAATTCATGGATGTTGATAATGATGATGATAATTTTTATAAATGGAACATATATTTCTCATTAATTAATTAATTAATTGATTAGTTAATTAACTAATTAATTAATAAAAAAAAATTCATGCAGAATGCACAGTGCTACCAGAACGAGACCAACTCTTCATACAGAAGTTACAACAGTGCATGGTCCTCTTTGATTTCGTGCAAGACCCTCTCAGTGACCTGAAGTTCAAGGAGGTCAAAAGGTCAGCCCTCAATGAACTTGTGGAGTTTGTGTCACAGACCAGAGGCATTCTTACGGAAGAAGTTTACCCTGAGGCAGTTCAAATGGTGTTTTTTTTAATTATTAAAAAATTATTTTCTTTTTTATTCTTTCTTTTAAATCGAATTTCACCATTTAATTGTTATTGGTTAGCAACTGGTGTTTGTTTCCTAATTGCAATGAATGAATGAATGAATGAATGAATATATTAGTTCAATATCATGCTTAATTAAATTGTTTTTGCTATCTAAGGTAATTATGTGATTGTTTAATGATATTTGTTATGAATGATTTGAATACAGTACATTGCACAATAGTTGTTTAAATGTGTTTGATAGTAACATTAGTAATAACAGCAATTATTATTATTGTTATAATGATTATTGTTCTTTTTAATGAGGCTAGGATGGATGATTTTTTTTCATGTGGTTTAAGTTTTTTATTTTCACTGTCAGTGGAATGTGATGTAGGGATTGGTAGTTCTAGAGCTAACTCTGAATTTATTTTAAATTTGCTATGTGTTTATGTTAGGTTTCGTCAATGGATGATGTGTATGTTCATTATTTTTTTTCATTTTTAAAATAAAAATATGTGTGCTATTCATTCTATTTGATATAGTTTGGTTTTTATCTCAGGTAAAATTATTGAGTAAATTTAAAATCAATCAGTCAAAAAAGTCTCTTGACAACAAACCTATCATCCAAGCAATCAATCAATTACCCTAATCAATCTACCAAACTATCAGTTAATTACTTCCACTAACCAACGAATCAGCTAACCAATCAATCAACCAATCATTCAACACTATCAGCCAAACAACTAACAAATCAATCGACCAACCAATTAACTAACCAATCAGTCAGCCCTATCAATCAACCAACAAACTAAACACACCCGACTATCCAATCAATCAATCAATCAACCGACCAACCAATCAATCAACCGACCGACCAATTAGTTTGCCATAAATGTCTTTCGAAGTCTCCCGCCATCTTCGAATCCCAACGGTGCAGAGTTCGACCCTGAAGAGGACGAGCCCGCCCTGGAAGCTGCCTGGCCCCACCTACAAGTTGGTTTGGTTTTTTTTGGTTAATTATGATAATGATGATGATGATGATGATGATAGTATTGATGATAATGATGATGGTGATGATGATGATGATAGTATTGATAATGGTGATGATGATGACGATAGTATTGATAACGATGATAGTGATGATGATTGTAATGCTGATAATGATTATAAGGATAAGAAAGATTTTAGATATTTTACCGAACAGCTGGTTTATGATTTCTTCTTAAAATTTGTGGAGTCGCTGGATTTTGATGTGAACATTGCCAAGAAATACATTGACCAGAGTTTCGTACTGCAGGTTCTGTGGTGGTTTTTTTTTTGATAAATTCATGTTTTATTTCAATCAATCAGTTAGTTAAACATCAATCAATTAATCGATTAATCACCCAATCAATCAATCAGTTATTCGATCATTCATTTATTAAATTTATTTGTTCCGAATTTGTGTTAAGGGAATTGTGTTTATTTTAATTAAAATATTTTGTATTTTAATTGATTCATCAATCATTCAATCAATAGATTGATTAGTCAATCAATCATTTAGCCAATCAACCAACTAACTGATCAACCAACCAACTAATTAATCAACCAACCAATCAACCAACTAACCAACCAACCATCATACAACTAGTTATTGGACCTGTTTGATAGTGAGGATCCAAGAGAAAGGGATTTCTTGAAAACGTTGCTGCATAGAATCTACGGCAAGTTTCTAGGACTGAGAGCTTACATTAGGAAAGAAATTAATAATATCTTCTATAGGTAGTTAGAGGATTTTTCTTTGGTACTTAGTTTAGCAATCAATCAATTATTTAATCAATCAATTACTCACTCATTTACTCACTCATTCACCTAATCAGTCGATTAGTTACGTCGCGAAACAGTCAATCAGTCAATCAATCAGACGGCTGTCCACCATTATCATGCTGTGTGCGTATGTGTGTGTGTGAGTTTGTGAGTGTGTGTGTGTGTGTGTGTGTGTGTGTGTGTTNTTGAGATTTNNATTAGTTAAATGGTTCTGACTTATATTTATTTTCAAAGTTTNATATATGAGAAG